CGTAGCAAGGACATCAGTAAAATAGTCCATGTGACATCAGTGGATCAATCGTAATTTTACAAAGCTACGAGAATACTTTCTGTGCACAAAGAAAACAAAAATAATGACTTTATTCAACAATTCTTCTCCTTCTCATCCCATCTGCAGCAGCGCACTGCCATTGTGGAGAGTATCACGACGCATGCGCTTCCTTCCGCTTCATGTAAACAACACATGCGCATGGTGCTGCTGCTTACTTAATAAAGTCGTTATTTTTGTTTTCTTTGCACACAAAAAGTATTCTCGTAGATTACGGTTGAACCACTGATGTCACATGGACTATTTTACTGATGTCCTTGCTACGTTTCTGGGTCTGGGAACATTTCAGTTGTATTGCTGTCTATGGAGGGTCCGAAAGCTCTCGGATTTCATAAAAAATATCTTAAATTTGTGTTCCAAAGATGAACGAAGGTCTTATGGGTTTGGAATGACATGAGGGTGATTAATTAATGACAGAATTTTTATTTTTGGGTGAACTATCCCTTTAAGCAAATAATTCAGAAAAATGAACTCTGTGTGTGTTTTTTGGGTGGAAGTAGGTCACACTGAACCCATATAAGCTCATCTGATCCCTGAAATTTGGCAGACATTTTTTGCTTGCAGCCAGGAATGGCATTTCTGTGTGTATCAGAGTGTGCGGGTTTGCACATTTGCATGTATGCACACGTTTGGGTGTTAATACTACAGGCTATTTTGTAGCCAGGAATTTCAATACTTTGCATACAGTAAGTTGGTTATCCACTTCTCTGGACCAATAATTTTTAATACGAGTGCGTGTGGAGGTGTGTGTGTACCTGCCAACACAGCTGAATAAACACACATCCAAACAGGCCCATGCACTCGGTGCTGTTTCTATACCCCATAATCCACCTGTCTTTTTCTAGAAAGCACTGACTCAATTTTTGGATCTGGTTTTCATGACAAAGCGAATGTCCTCTTTACAGAGAGATGTCTGGGTATAAAAGAGCCGGAGTGGGACGGGCCTGAACCAGCACAGCTCTGCAACTCTACCCCCACCACGGGCGCCGCCACCAGCCGAACCTCTGCAGAATGGGCCGGGTGAGTACAAAGGTGATCAGGACACTCTGCACCGATTATTGATCATTTATTGGCTGCCATTTGTGACTGATTAGTGATAGATAGAGCCATTTTGAGATGGTTGGACATACAATATTGTATTTAATTTATATATTTTTATTTGTAATTATAATTATAATTGTAGATATTTTATATTATTGTTATATTTTAGATTTTTTTTATTTTTCATAATATTTAATTTTTTTTAACAAAATTGTGATGCAACCAGAGGTAGTTTATTAAAATAATATCCGAGTGTGAAATAAAATTCCACCGTCTCCTTTGTACAGATCATTTTCTACGAGGCCAAGAAATTCCAGGGCCGTCGGTATGAGTGTGACAGCGACTGTTCGGACTTCCATGCCTACCTGAACCAGTGTAACTCCATCCGCGTGGAGAGCGGGGCCTGGGTGGTCTACGAGAGGCCCAACTTCAGACTGTTCGGACTTCCATGCCTACCTGAACCAGTGTAACTCCATCTGCGTGGAGAGCGGGGCCTGGGTGGTCTACGAGAGGCCCAACTTCATGGGCTACCAGTATGTTTTGACCTGGGGCGAGTATCCAGATTACCAACGCTGGATGGGTCTGAACGACCGTCTCTGCTCCTGCAAGATGATCCACTTCGTAAGTCGCCCACATGCAGTGGAAACATTATGTAGTGCATATTTGAAATTCAGTAGATGTTCTTTCCACTCCAGGTAAGCGGTTCTGAGTACAAGATTCAACTCTACGACAAGGGAGATTTCGCGGGCCGGGTGTACGAGACCACCGAGGATTGTCCATCCGTGGTGGAGCGCTTTCGGACACGCGAGGTTCACTCCTGTAAGGTGCTAGACGGGATCTGGATCTTCTACGAGCACCCAAACTACAGGGGGCGCCAGTACCTACTGGAGAAGGGGGAGTACCGTAAACCCGTGGACTGGGGTGCCGTCTGCCCCACGGTTCAGTCCTTCAAACGCCTGACGGTGTGACATCTGACTTGTAAATCCATCCATCTGCAGTCCTCCTTTACCTCCAAACCACCCAACCATAACAGCACTGACACACCTGTGCTGAATCAATAAATGTGTGGTTGCAAATGAAACTGTTGTCTCTTTTTGCAAATGTGTGATCACTAGACCTTTTGACTTAGGGAACTATATACATTCTATAGATCTCATAACTGAATAAAACAATGATTGTATTGCTAGAGGTATTTGCCATACCAGGTGTTAAAAGGGATAGTTCACCCAAAAATGAAAATTCTGTCATTAATTACTCACCCTCATGTCGTTCCAAACCCGTCAGACTTTCGTTCATCTTTCTGACCCTGCATAGACAGCAATGGAACTACCACGTTCAAGGACCATGGAAGAGAAGAAATTGTTGAATAAAGTCATTATTTTTGTTTTCTTTGCGCACAAAAAGTATTTTCATAGCTTTATAAATTTACGGTGTCACATGAACTATTTTAACAATTTTACTACTTTTCTGGGCCTTGAACATGTCAGTTGCGTTGCTGTCTATGCAGGGTCAGAAAGCTCTCGGATTTCATCAAAAATATCTTAATTTGTGTTCCGAATATGAACGAAGGTCTTATGTATTTGGAACGACATGAGGGTGAGTAATTAATGACAGAATTTTCATTTTTGGGTGATCTATCCCTTTAAGAATTTAAATACTTTTAAAATAAACAACTATAATAATATTAATCTTACTCGCTTGCTCTGGTTACCGTTTGGCATGCAGTTTGCCAAACCCTGTCCAAAATTCATCACCCTTCATCATCAGCAAATTATGAGTGCTTTCTGCCCCTTAGTGGGCAGGTGGAGTTTTTGAGTTTTATGAACAAAATACATATTAATCAGTCCAAAAATAAAATTTGACACTATCAAATTAGTCGTTTAATATACTACAGATGGGTTTAAACATACACTGTTAAAAATAAATCATGGGTCTTGTAATTTTCATTAAAAAAATTGATTGGTGATAATTAAAAATAGTGTGTATATTTTATTAAAGAAATTGTGGTTCAGTGTTGTATAGAAAATATTGAGAACTTTTCACTAATAAAACCAAGAGATTATGTTTTCCTCATATTTTTTAAGGAAACTGGTAACTTGGCGTGAAGGATCACACTGAAGGCAGGACTGCAGTACGGTCGTGCAGTGTGCATACAGAATACACAACACAGTCTTGACTGCACAACATTACACACAACGTTTTTCTGCCCAACAGGCGGTTTTCCCAACAACTGCATATTTCAAATTTGACATTTGAAAGAGTTTGTGTTACATTGAAGTTTCTGTCGTTACCATTGTGCAGAAGAGTAGAGCTTATGGTTATGGATAACTGCATGTACTACCACCATGAGGCATGTTGCTTAAATTTGTTCAATGAGCAGTAGCTTTGCTAATGCTAGTGCAGTAAAAACATTTCCCACTTGAGCTCTCTCGCTTTATAGGCTATAGTTTTGTAATTGTACAAAATAACTCAAAGTCAAATACAAACAGGCTATACTCGAAATCACGGACTTTTGAGAATCAACTTAAAATAAATGAGCACATTTCACTAATAATATTAAAATCATTGCGTCATAGATTAAATAATTTAGGAGATTTTACATGATTTATTCAGGTAGATTCCATTAAAAAATCAAGCCTAAAAACTACTCAAAAATATTACGTGTAATATTGTTACCATCATTTTTTTAAGTAGATAGCTCATACCATTTTTTACAGTGTAGTCAGCTTGCACATGCAAAGGGTTATGTGACGGCTAAATAAAACATCTGAAGTTATGTATATTATGAATAGGCTAGCTTTTCATTTTATGCTATAAAAATCCAGGAACTAATAGCTTAAAGATGCTTGTTTAACTTACCAACCAACATCCATAAGTATAAGAACAAAACAACCATGTCAACCATATTCATCAACAGTTGAGTCATAATCGTTTTGGCCATTTTTCTGTAAAAATTGATTATTTATTTTTTAAATAATCTTTCTGTTGTGATTAAACTCCACAGGAGCAGAAATGAGCATCTCTGATGAAGATTCTCATGTCAATGTGTTCAAAAGTTTTTACACTTTTTTCTTCTTCTTGTTTCTCTTTTGTGTATATGTGTGAGTGTGCGCGTGTGTGCCT